AATTTAATATTGATCCTTCATAAACAGGCCACGCCCACGCACCCGCTTTTCTTTCTTTCATTCATTCATTCACTAACCTCTACTATTCCTCAACGCATGCATCATGCTCCTCGGATCACAAATAACGCAATTGCTTTTAATTAAACCCAATAAAAACATGCCTCATCAAACCAATAAGATAAATAAAGCCTGCGGCTGCTGAGAAGAACGGACATGGAAAGAAATTAAGCAAGGGGTCTGGGCACGGGGCAGACATAAGAAATCGTCCGAATAACGAACTCGTGGCCCCCACGTGCTGGGGATCTCGTTTCTGCATTTGACGCGCACGTCCATTCACCGTGGTACAGCCAAACCACGGGCCTAGCCAGGGTGTGAGTTGTTAAGCGTGGTTTCTTTTGCTCTGCTATATTTATAATCAATTTTTTATTCCCAAAAAAATAAAAAGTAAATAAAATTAGGGGATCCTTCATCCGACTTTCGACCAAAGTTACATAAGACCATTTCAGATAAATGAAATAAGACAATTAAAGCAATCAATCACAGAATAATAAATAATATGTATTTGTGATTAGGGGAACAATTTCAGCAAAAATAAAATTTTGGGGGGGGGGGGATGAGAAGAGGAGGTTCAAGTGGGCGGGGGATGCTCATGCCTTGCTTGGCTGCTGCAACAGCAACAACATTTCGGGAATTTCCTACCCGCCAGGCAACGGCACTCTGATCCCCCTCTTCTCACTTCGCATCTCATCTCACCTGTGACTCATTGAGTTGCGTGCTCTACCCTATGCTCATTGCTCACTCTCCCTAGAGATGGACTCAGACGGACTAGGAGACAAAAATTCGCCACAGCAATGGTCGGCCACATTTATTATTAACAGTCACTGCGATTTAGGACCCACGCACGCCATGGAAACACCTTTGACGTGGCTCGCCGCTGAGCTTTTAGCGGCCCACTTTTCATTGTTGTCAATAATGCATCTTTTTCTCTTTGCATATTTCCATCACGACATGTCAGTGTCGTGAAATATCGGAGTTATGTTGCTGGATATGACTTTATTCGTTGGTTCTTCGCCTGTTCACAGCTTTTTCATAAAGCTAGGGCCGCAGCTAAGAAAAAAGAACAATAACATATACTACTGTTTATTGTCCGCGCACGGAGCTGAAGAACCAAAAGAACAAGGGGTGGGGGTGCGTCTTTAATGGAGACAAAATAGAGAGGCCTGACAATGCTGGAGGCTCAACTTTCACATCCATGCCGCAATGGGCTTCTCCGGCCCATCCTTAGCTGCTGGATTCGCACTTAAAACATCATCCATTGTGTGGTATGGGCCCACTTCGCCCACCACCACGCTCTGTGGGTAATCCAACAATATTTCTCACTGGGCTATGCTGGTCAGCTCTCTTCAAATATGTCCACACTAGACTCATTGACAGGGACGTAAAATTTGAGAAGCTCCTCGCCTCTTGCAGAATGCGAAGCATGCCTGACTGAACACACACAGCGGGGTGAGACTCGTCAACAAAAATACATTTGGGTACGGTCGCCTGGTCAGCGCCGTCCAACCAATCACCTCTTCGCTTTGTGGTGCGGTACGTCGACAACGTTGAGCTGATGCGGCGCCGTGTTGTTTTGAGCACAACGGATCAGCGTCTAATATTCATTCCGTCGTTCACGGCACTTGCTGCCGAAGCGTTTCCTCACTCCGACGAGTGGTGGAGTGGAGTCAGCAGACATTTGACTGGCTTTAGCGCCGCTTCGACGGTCGCATGAGAAGATCACAGCCTCCTTCAGTCTAATCTAATTTTGGGAAATGGTTTTACTTCCTACCCCTTAACGCTCGCAGTAAAGCCCAAGAGCAGCTTTCAACATGCACCTTCAAACAGCAGCGTTTGGTTATCAGATCTCACATGTGATACACACACCCCACCCCACCCCCAAAAAGAAAAGAAAAGAAAAGTAAACAACAAAAACACAAGTACACCTTTCCTGACAACAGCATGTGCTCCCTCATCTGGAAAAAAGAAATATCATCGCTTTCAGGAAGTGATGGAGATTCGTGGTTAATTATAATACGGACTCTGCATTTTAAATTTGGAGGGAGAAAAATGCCCATTTTAGATATGGACAACTCCGCGCACGGTAAAAATAATTTCGAATTTACGAGATGAGAGGTTTTTCTTGAACCAAGTGACGATTTGAAGGATAGGCGCAGTCAATTATAGGTTACGAAAGGAAGGGTAAACCTTCCCACCCTCGTCCCTAGCTACTCCAAAATATTAATTGAAGGTTATACGCTGGCTGCCTAATTAATTCACTAACTTGCTGTGCCATAATTTCTTTCTTTCTCGGGCTTTAATGATCTCTGATGTGGTTGGAAATTTGGGATGCTGATTTTTCTGATTAATGGGTAAAAAAAAACACGGGAATGCTGTTCTGGGATGCCTCTTGTTTTCCTTCTTTTATAATATTTTCTGCGAGTGCAGTATTGCATCCTGAGCACCACGCAATTCCCGCACGGCCAAATCCATAATAAAACTTGCTCTCTGCCCAAAAACAGGCATGCAAATTGGTGAAAACGATGTTTCCATATGTTGCACGCATATTTAAAATCCAAGAACATAAAAATAAAATAAAGTTAAGAAAGTTGTGTATGTGAAAAAATAAATAAAAGATAAGAAAGAGATCAGAAAAATTAAAAATAAGGGAGGCCTGCCGGAATAGGTTGAGATTTATTTTGTAGGAGAGAAAAATAAAAATAATAATAAATAGAATCAAATGCTTTCTCATGTTTGAGTGATTAAATTTAAATGTAAATAAGAGGGAGTGCAAAAATGTTCCCAAGTCCAGAAAGCCCCGGTTAAGACCGTAACGACCAATCCTCTTTTTTTTTTTTTTTTCACCAACTCTTATTTTTATATTTTTGAACTTCATGGGGAAAAAAAGGACGTGCCCAGGTGTGAGAATATTGTAGAATAAACTACTACTATGTAAGAATTCTATCAATTCGTAATAATAATAATAATAATAATAATAATAATAATAATAATAATAAGAACGTCTCTCGTCAACACCCTTTCTTATTTTATCATTTTAATTACGTTAATTTGTGAGCTAAAGCTTTTGAATGTAAGCTGGGTTATGGTGGCGTTCATGATTCGAACTCCCTAAAATACACTTTACCAGTTTATCTAGAGGGCAGCGAGATTAGAAATACAAAGATACGTTGCCTGCATTGTCAAAAATAGGGCTTTTTTTTAATTATTTAAATGAATATCTCTTACTCTGTGTTAAGTGACGTGCATTCCAGGCGACATCAATCCTTGAAATTTACCTCACTTTCTGTATTTCGAATATTTTGTTTCTATGCGCGTACGTTACTTACAGGCCGATCCCTCCCATCCTTAAACCTCGTTTCTTCATCTGCCGGGCCTGTCAAAGGAGTAGTTTCGGTGCTCATCGTTTTGATGACCATCATAAACTCATCAAATTTAAATTTATCTATTTGATTTTAGATTTAAACGGTTTAAATTTAAAATCTTTAATTAATTATTTTTAAAAAGGAAAACTATTTTTTGAAAGAATGATAGTTAAAAATCATCACTATTTTAGATTCTATACATATTAAAATAATTATTTTGAATAAATAAAAATAAAAAAGAAATCAAATTTGAACCATATAAATGAGATATAGATGATTCAGATCTGATGAGCTTATGATGCTTATCAAATGGATGAGCATCGAAACTGATTCGTCAAAGAATGCTTCCTTAGTCTTGGACCAATCACTGGTCATTGACTACTCAATGTAGTCGTCAATAATAGAATTTAGAATCAGAATCCTGCACTCTTCTCCCCCCCCCCCTTCTTTGCCCCTGTTGGTCTGCGTGGATACAACTTCGCCAAGATAAAGTGGAAATATAGAAAATGAGGTCCTCGAAATGAAAATCGCCGTGTTTTGCACCCAAAAAAAAAAACCTATGGTTGCAAATGGGAACATTTGCTTTGAAGGTAAGGAGGGGACTGATTCGTTGAAATGGGAAGAAAAGAACGGTTGACCAGCCTGAAATATTATTATGTCATAGAATTACAGGTACTTCATCAGTGGATCGAGTGGGAAGACGGGTAGCATAAAGGAGATTGTTCCTTTTACTTTGTCTGGTGTCTCCGTATATTATATTCCCCGGAACAGCCTAGCCCAGTGCTACAGGTTGTTGTGCTAACAAATTAAAACAGATTCCAATTTTGGGCTTCGAATTGAGACCGCAGACGAAGGAAAGGATCCGGAGCACGCCGGTTGATAAATCAATCAGGGAAGAGTGCATAATGCCAAGTGGAGGAGGGAATAAAATTGGGGGGTGAGTGGAGACAAACTGGAATCAAGTGTAAACAGAAGAAATAAGAGAACTTTGCTTTGCTTTCACGTGGGCTGGTGTCATTATAACTCCCACAACGGCTTCCATCATTGCTACCTCCATCCACCCAAACCATCATTTTCCAATATTTTATACACCGCAGCATAAATATTAATATTATTTCGTACATATTCCATCAATATGGTTCTCTGTGTATGTTTGTGTATATATATTTATACAACAATAATAATGGACATGAGACATTTTAATTTCAAATTTCTCTACAATTTCATTAATTTCCAAAACGCCACCAATCAAATAAAGTCACTAATTTACAAAAGTCACCCCCTTCATCGGCGCTAATCCCACAGTTACATCAACATAAGCGGTCACCTTTTCTCAATTAGGGAAAGCAATGTCTCAGTGTACACAGCCTCCAGTCTTCGCTCCGATTCCAAGCCGGGACGACTCCGTGTGCTCCACGTATCTGCCATCTCCTCAGCTTCCTCCGCAGCATCATGTATAAGCTTCACTCCCCTCTGCTCCCCCGCCCGAGGGACCGACTCAGTCATTACCAAAACAATGACCCGGCCCAAGACAAAGGTCCTAAGGTATATTTACTGCTACTTGCCACTTGCCAATCCTACGGCCTATCACTCGGCCGCGAAGACTACCACCGGTACTGGGGCTTGATCCGGCCTCGTAGTGGCTTTCTCCAGTTTCCGACCTACCAGATCGTTTTTTCGGCGAAACCATGAAGTAACGGTCGAGATTCGGCCCAAACCTCCAGATTGCTCCTCATTCCCACGAGGCAGTGCCTATGAAGTTCCTCCGTATTCGCAAATCGGGCTGACCTCCCTGACTCCGACCGCGAAATATACCCAAGAACCTCTTCGAACACGGCTTCGTCGCAAGGAATCGCCAGGGGCCCATGATTAGAGAAACCGTACTCCTCCTCGGCTTGAACCAGAAGCTTCTTGAACACAGGATGGTTCAGGTAGGAAGCGCGCACCACAAATCTCCTGGAGTTGTTGCCCACGCACACGGCCACGTGTCCGGCAGGCACATCGGAGGGTATGCGTCTGGCCGACATGCGGGCCTTGTTGCGCCACTGTCGCAGCATCTGGCGCAGCCTAACAATGTGGCGGATTTTGCTGCATTTTCCGAGTCCGGCAGACATTTTCCCTAGAAAGTGATCGTCAGCAGCAGCTAGCAGCGCTTTGGTGTCTCGGGCTGCTCTGCGTATGGGAGAAGGAAATAAAAAAAATTGGGGGGATTGGAAGAAGTGAAAGACCCGCGGCTTTATAGGGGCAAAGCCTCGAAAGTACCCGTGAACTTTCCCATAATTACAAGACGACGCCGCTTACCGCTTCTGTCATATTCAAGGGCTGTGATTTGTAGATCATGGCCTCTTGGGACAAGTACTGTTCTAGTGGACCCACCTTCTTTGTGAAATTACGGGCTCTTTTTTTCTTTTTTGAAAAAAAAAAATATTTAGCCTGATTTGCTGACCCTAGAACTGATATTTTAGTAAGCAGACAGCAAGTTATTTTAATAGAAAGACTGGTTTTTTATTATAAATTTATTGTTCATCATCTCAAATAATAACATTCTATCTGGTTCAAAAAAAATGCAAGCTCAAATCAATTGAAAAAAAGTCTACGCATTTTATAAATATTATTTTAATGCCAATAAGATGGTTATAAGATCGTTGTGAGAAACGTGAGAAGTGGCGTTAAAATTTACATGATGACATTATGGTCTTTTGATGTCCTGAAAACTTTTCACATAGCTAAAATACGCACATACATAGTAATTTGGGTGAGATTTTGCGAGCATGCCGGACATCCTAAGAATCTCGCATGTTGCAAAATAAGCTGACTTTAGACGATTAATTCACTTGTGACTTGAGGTTCTTTACCCCAAAATTTCATGAGCTATATAGAGGGGGAAAAATATAGAATTTGACATAAATTGAGGAACTAAGAACTGAATTGAAATAAACTTTAATTAAAAAATGGGTATATGATGTGTGGAATTGAAAATAAAGAAAATGATCTGCCATAATTTGAAGGGAAGTATTGCATTTTTTATCACCCTCATCTTTCTCCTGATTTGAGATGAATGGTTATGAAGGGGAGCTTTTCTGTTTGTTGTAATTTTTATTTTGTTTTCCCCTTATTGAGGTAACAATATTCTTTGTTTTTTTTGTCAAAGAGGTAATGATATTCAGTTTTCACTAAAAAAAAAAAAAAAGGGCCGGTGAAATGGAGAATATGCCGAACGGTTAAATACAGCTGATTGAAAAAATAAAGAAAATGGCAGGGTACCTGAGCTGAATGTAAGTAAGGGCCACGTAGGAAGTCTGAAGAAGAACAGGATGTTGGGCAGCGTAACAAGTTGAGCAGGTGAGGGTAGCGGATGATAGAGAGGGGGTTCTTTGTTTTATGTTTTATGGTGATGCATACAAGTTAAGTTATTTATAAATATGTTCTAAGTAAATTAAAATAAAATTATATTCACATATTTATCTCGTATTTTGTAAATTATGATCGAAATATTACTTATGAGTTATTCTAAATAGGTCGGGAAATACTGTGAAGCATGAATTCCCAAATTCACAATACTTCACCAATTGAATGATTGAAAACCAATCAACAATCAACATCTTCGTGTCATATTGCCAATATTATCAATCAATCAATCAACTTTATTTTTAAAATTTATAATATCCTATTTGGTCTGAAAATGGACCGAGTATAAAATTATGGGATCCAAATATATCCAATTAATGAGATTTAAATAATACCTCGACTGAAATTTGAATAGATTGAATTAAATGAAAAACATTATAAATAAATGCAATTTCAAATGGCAGCTTAAATAAATAAGTTAATAATTAATTTTGACTTTGAATAATATCTTAACTAAAATTTGAATATATTAAAATAAATGGAGTATCATAATTAACTAGTATGTCAATTGGAGGCTTAAATAGAGAAATAAATAAATAATTTCAAATTTCATCTATTCCCTATAAATTATGCATCCCTGATTCAAATTTCATTAAAATGAATTAAAAAATATACTCATATCAAAAGTAAATCTTCAGCTATCTTAAATAATACAATTTATTAAATTTTAAATCTAATTAAATACACTAATCCGTCTGTAGGCAGAAAATTTGCTAGTTAATTACCAAAACACAAAATAGTAAGCACGTATTCTTTGAAAATTGACTTTCTAGGCGCCTCTCCCGTGGACCAATGAAACTTTTGGGGTGATTGATATTTGATACTCCTCCGTCCGCCTTTTAATATAGGACCCATTTATCATATTTATTAATTTTCTTAAATTATCTCTATAATACTTCCTTAACCATAATCAGGTAGAAGAGAAAGAAGGGGTATTAAGAAAGATGATCATGGTGTTTTGAGAAAAGTATGTCATTTTTCTTATAATTAACTAACTTACCTAATTCCTTAATTTAATCAAATTAGTTAAATGGGTCTTATATTAAGGATCGGAGGAGTATTATATAAAAATGAATGTCGTTTACCTTGTCATCATTTAATCTATACTACTACTGCGATTCAATATGCAACAATAAGCAGTGCCGCGTAACAAGGAACGGTGAGTGAACGTAGAAAAGGGTGAAGAGCGGCAACTGGATGCAGACTCACATCACCACCTGCCTCCCCTCTACGTTGGCAAGGAAGCATCGAATTTGATTTTAAATATAAAATTTTAGTTAACTTCATCTTTTTATGTTTCTTAATTTTTAAAACTAATTGTATATACAATAAGTAATCTATTTAATCCCTCTAGTAGATTTAAATTACACTTGATCTTAGCTAAAAGGCGAGAAAGGTATTCTAGTACATTTAAATTAAGCAGTGGTTATGTTAAAAATAGGACGGATTAATTAAAAAAAATTTAAAAAAGAGAAGAAAAGCAAAGCCGTTTCCAACTAACCCCCATGTGCCTGCCCGGCCCCTCACTGCCTCCTTTCCCTAAACGACAAACCGGCGAAACCTCTCACGCACGCGGCACTCATGTGACGGTTCAGATCATTGATCAATCCTCCTCAACATTTCCTCTTCACAGCAGCAGGTTTGAAGTACTCGTACTCTGCATGTGTGCGCATCACTGCTGAATCAGGAGGGATGGAGGGTGGATTGGGAACGGAGGGGTCCACATTCCATGTTGTTGGGATTTAGGGCGGATCACGCTTATTTTCCCTAATCGTCACCCAGTGGAGGCATATCCGGAGCAACTCTCCTATTCACATTAATTAATGTAATCCACTAGTTAAAAACAAGACTTCAATGATCTCATGTCCCTGGAACCATGAATGTAACCATAAATTGGTTTATGCTTGGCTTCAATCCGGGGCTTTAATTAAACTGAATTATTGCATATCGTTTGTTGGGAGTTGGGACACAAATTTTAATTTGTAGCAACATACGAAGAATGTATGGTGCATCTCTGTCCATCAGTTTTGTTGCGTCATCTCAAATCAGTTTTCCCTCTCCCTGCTTAGATTATGTGAAAGTCTAATTATTATTATATAAGTTTTATACACAGCTCCAGAATTTTCTCGTGCTGACAAAATTATGGAAGCCAGTCACCAAAAAACAACAAAATTACGGAGGCCTTGTTCTGGGTAGACTATAATTCTAACGGCTGAGAAATGAGAACGATGCTCTTCCCCTTTTTCAGGAAAGAAGAACGAAAGTTGGCACAACTTCATGGGGGTAGGCTTAGGTCAAAAGAAGTTCCCATGGGGAGGCATGGAAGGGTAATTAAGGAATCAGAGAGAATTCCCATCTTGCGGTGGTGCGGGTGGTGGCCACCCCGTCCCGCGTCCACGTTGATGTTGTTGCTGGCCAACACTAGAGGACAATCGACGTCACCCCCCTCCCCGGCTGACATGGCACCGCCCACACATCCTGCTTTTCCTTTACACGCATCCCCCACTGACACTTTCCCATGTGTTTTTTTATAACTCGTTTAAAACTTTTCTTGCCTACTTTTTTTGTTTTAAAACTAATGCATTTAAGTTGTATTGTTCATCATGCAATCAATGGCCTTTAGGAACTGTATATACTATTTTTATAAAAATTAGTTAGCTAATTTAAATAGATTAATAAATCTATTAAATTATTATTGGTAATAAATAAGTTTTTTTCTTAAAATATTCTTACTATTATGTGCATTAGTTATAACTACCATTTCACAGGACATTTAAAATATATAACTATTATAAAAATTACTTTAAAAAATAAATTAAAAAACAATAAATTATAATATCATATTTAAAATTAAATTAATTTTATATTAAAAATCAGAGTTAGTATTAATCTGCATAAATGAAATATACATCATACGTGGGGGCAAATGAAATTAAAAAAAAGACTGCGGTGGGTCTGAGGGGCCCGGTCAAAGGGGAAAAGGCCAAAGAGAGTGGCGCTTTTGGGGCAAAAGTCGTTCGCCTTGGGGTTCGCTTCGTTGTACTCGCAGCGTCACGGACGGACACCGCCATCCTCCTTCTACTTTTTTTGTACGGCCCAGCTCCATGCTGTAACTTTTTTTATTCTCATGACATATAATCATCGTATTAATTTGAATTTTTGTGGTTTTAACGCAGATCTCACGAGTCATAATGCTCTTTTGATTTCTGTGGGCCCCTTAAGATTAACCACAAAGACGGGGCTCCGCGTGGGAATAAAGGCGGGAGCAGATGAAATTTCGGCACGGGAGCGAGAGAACGAAAATGGAGGCTGTGGGGCCCACTAGGAGGTGGATGGTCGGGTTAATTTCGGTGGGCCCCCTGAGATTAAAAGCAGGAACAAAGGAAGAGCGGGGCAAAATTTTAGAAATGGGGCACATCAAATTAATAAATTCCCGTCCCCTAGCGTTAAGTTTCAGTGTTTACATCTTTAATATGGCGAGCCATAATCAAATCACCTCCTTTTATTTGTTTCCATTTTACTCTCCCCTGATCTTCTTACCTGCATGTTGTGTGAAGTCCGACACAGGGGGTAAGAAATATAATCAACGTGTGAATTTTTTTAACTTCTCTAATACATACGTTTTTCATTTCTTTTCAAACTGGCGGATAATATACGGGTGATTTTTCCGGAAGCGATATTGTAAGAGAAACGGATGTATACAGATCAGGAAGGGACCAGATAACCAGGTGACGGTTTAACTAACTATATAAATTCTCTACCAGACATATATTT